TAGATCAAATGGGCCCAACAATTTTTGCAGCAGGTTCCTTTATTAGGGGGTGGTAATCAACTCCTAGCATAAACCACCGTCCGATCACGCTAGATTTTCAAAATCATTAATTATCATTTAATCACTGGGATGGAAGATGCCTGGGTCTAAAAAATTTCGCATTCCCTCGGTTCTAAAATAATAAAAAAATTATTTTTTTATTATATAATTATTACATTTTGAAAATTTTATTTTTTAAAAATTATTCTTTGATAATATTTAAAAATCATTCTTTGATAATATATTTTTTTGAAAATATTAATTGTTATAATTATACTTTTTGTATTGTTAATGAATTTAAAAGAAAGATAGAATAAGAAATTTTATAAAATTTGAGTCTTTGATTTTTAAAAATAAATTAATATTTTAGAATAATGAAAAATAAAATAAAAAATTAATATTTTAAGATAAAAGAAAGATAATATATAATAATGTTATTAAATATCAATTATTGATTAATTATATAGTCAGTTATATAAGATTTATCACTTTTATCACATTATGAATATTTATACTATATATTAAGTAAAATGAGATTTCTTACCCTCAAAGCCTGTGGGAGCTCTAACATGCCAATCTTAATATTCTAATTTTTTGTTTTTTTTTTTAAATTAACCTCAGTATTTATTAATTTCTCTCAATTCATAAGATTTTTTGACTTCTCTCATAATTACTGCAACACCTTTTCCAAAACAAATAGTTTGTATACTAAAAAAAATTTAAAATAAATATAAATATCTATATCTATATCTATCTCTAACCCACAAGTTTTGTGGGAGTTCCAATATCTTAATATAAATTTCTTGATTAAAAAAAAATATATTAGCATTTATTAATTTCTCACAACCCCAAGCCTTATCCTTATAATAACACTTTAATGCATTAAGAATAAGGTCTTGTTTGGGAATAGGCTAATTTAGTAATTTTTTGGCTATTTGGCTAAAAAAGTAGGTAAAAAAAACTTATATGTTTGGGATGACTTTTTGGCTAATTACGAAAAGATGTGCAAAAAATAGAAAGAAAAGAGAATCTTCGACTTTTTGGTATGAGTTGTTGGCTTTTTAGCTAAAAAAGTAACTTTTTGACTTTTTGGCTAAAAATGTGAGTCCTCAAACAGGGCCTAAGTATAAAAAAAATTCCTTGAAAAGTCCAACACATATGAATTCTTTGAAAAATCTCAACACATATGATTATTATCCCTCATAATAACACTTTAATGCATTAAGAACAAGTATAAAAAAAATTCTTGAAAAGTGTAATACATATGATTATTATCAAAATATTAAACTTTAATATAATATAAAAAAACAAGACATTTAATTCATTGAAAAGTCCAACACATATAATTATTATCAAAATATTAAACTTTAATATAATATAAAAAGAAAAAAAAAGAAGACATTTAAAAAAAAAAGATATTTAAAAATCACAATTCACATATATATTCCCTGATCAGCATTTATTACATTTTTTTCAATGCACGTGTCTTTCCACATGCATGCATTTATTAATTTGGTCAAAATTTTCTAATCAGCATTTAAAATCCCCTCATACAAATAAATATAGATACAACTCGTGCATAATTACTACAGTACCATTTTCAATTTCTCTCATACATTATGGTTAGTGATAAGATTGTTAAATTATTTTTATAAAAAATTTTAAAAAATATAATTTATATATTAAAAAAAAATTAAATATTTTTAATTATTCCGTACATAGCACTGATGATAGACTAAGTATTTTTGAACGCCAAATATAAATCGGAATACTCCTCAAAAGTTTATAAATACGCCATAGTTTTCGTGCTTTCTCAATCATTACTACATTAGAATTACTACACTCACGTCCCATTTGAACACGTGCCTCACACGGTCCAATCATAAGAGTATATAAAGTTAAGAAATTACACTATATCATCAGGACTAATATTATGGGTCCATTTGGCAAGCAATGTTGGGGTTAAAATAGTCACAAAAGATAAAATAGCCTATTTTAGTCACAATAAACAAAATATCACATTCAACCCATAATTATTACACTCTTCTCTCACAAAAAAAGTCAAAAAAATCAAAAAATTAAAAAATTCTTCCAAAACTAAACTTTTTAACCCAAGTTAAAATAGTTAAAAAAGTCAAAAAATTAAAAAGTCAACCCACTTCTCAAACGGAGGCTATATGTATTAATTTAGTGTAGTAACTAATATATTATCAATGTGAATCTCAACCGTTGTAAACCTAAAAAATTATGCACACATTACTATAACCTATTTTGATAATTGAATTAAAAGTTATCTTTTTAATTTTTTTGACTTTTTAAAATCCGTCACTTTTTTATTTTTTAAAAAATATTCTTTTTAAAAAAAAAGTTAAAAAATTAGTTTTTAACTAACTTTCTAAAACAAGTCAATGTTATTTGATGCATCTTAATTAGTTGACATTTTTTTAAAGTATGTGTTAAACTATTTTATATAATTTTTATTTATAACTTATTAAATAAAATAAATTCAATAAGTTATAAAAATGAATTTCTTAAGAATGGAGAAATTGTGCTTTTTATTATTTATTTATTATTTTTACACTTCTGCTTTCTGATTATTAAATACTTCATTGAGAATTAGTTTTTTTTTTTATTTTTTTTTGACCTTTTGACCTTTTGAGGTTTTGTATGAGGTGAATAAATTATGAATTATTGAAATGTTTGACATATTATTAATATTTTGACTTTTTAATTTTTTTGTATAAATTACACTGGCACCCCTAAGGTTTGGTCTAATTACATTCCATCCTGACGTTCTGAAAATTACATTCACACCCCTGTGCTTAATAATTTTATTTCACAAACCCTCATACTTATATAAAAGGCAACAACTCTTAGTTAAAAAAAACAGAAAAAATTAAATTGAAAAAAAAAGTAAAGCAAAGGAAATGAAAAAAAAAAAAAACAAGGGAAGCAAAGCAAAGTAAGAAAAGAGAGAGTGCATGAGTTTAATGTCTTCATTTCGCCTAAATAATTACAATGACAGGAGGTTAGTGTAATTTCCTAAACGTCAATGAGTGATATGTATTAAATTCAAATTTTAAGGGGTGTAAGTGTAATTTATTCAAAAATTTTACATCACTTTCTAACGATTTTAACCAAAAAGTCAAATTGTCAAATGTGGCCAAAGTTTTAGCTTACAAGATGATACAAACTCTCCCACTCCTCAACTTGTTCATAAAAAATTTCAATTTATTTCAATTATTTTTATCCAAATAACTATAATAAGAACTTTTGGCACAACCTTATTAACATAATTTTTTAAAATAAATTTTAAAAAATTATAAACAATTCATATAAAGTTATAAACGAGCTGAGTAAAGTCAACTACTAATTTTTTCAAACTTGACTTGAAAATTTATCGAATTCCAAAATATATTAAAAAATAATTTATTTACATAACAAACAGATTTGTGTCGAGTTTTTATGAAGTCTTACATAAATTAAGTTCTAATAACTTTTTTTTTATTTTTTTATAATGCATATAAATTTATTAAGTTGGGCAATAAATTACTATTCCAACTCAATTTATTTATTTTTTTATAAATTTAATAAGTTTTAAAATTTATTAAAACTTGACTTGTAACAAATGTCAATTCTATATAACTTTTACTCAAATTAATTATTGTCTTTTGTGAAAACCCTAAAACCCTTCTACTTGTCTCTCTATATTTTCCTATAGAGGAGAGGAAGACCACGATAGTTTATTCACTTTTTCGTATTCTCTCTCCTCTTTCCTTTTCTTTGATCCTCTCTCAGATTTATTAACTCGGATTATTGTTTTACCTTCTCTATTTTTAAGCTCAAAACTTTAAGATTTGATTTTGCTAAACGGAGGTGGAGTTTTAGATTTCCAGTCGAAAGTTAAGGAGTAATAGAATTTTGAATTTGATAACGGCTTGGATCTAGTTTTTTTTTATTTGTTTTTCTTAATTTTTAATTTATTGATGTAGTAATCCTTTATGTGTGAAAATTTGATTTTCTACCTTGTGGGGGCCTTTGTTTTCTTTTGCAATAGAGGCTTAGGCCATGTTTATTTAGCTTCTTAAAAAAGAGGATTGAATTAATAATCTGTGAGGCCCATCAAAACTATATTTGGTCGTGTTAATATATTATAAGATTATGATTAGTCCAATTAGACTACCAATCTCCCGGGGTGGGATTAACATACTCATTGGGGGAGTTGGGATTGTTCCAATCCCCCTTAGATTGAAAATAAAAGACAATTTTTAATATTATTATGTTTTAAATAATTTATTAATGAAAGAAATATTTAAATTTTTTAATAAATACTAAAAAAATATGATTTTTTTTTACATTTAGTGAATTTTTAAGTGATTTTTAAGCAAAATTTATATTTTTTAGAACATAAAAGAATAATAATACTGAAAATAAAAAAATAGTAATTTTATATATTAATACTATCTATAGCATTACTAGTCTCTTCCTATTTCTTCAATCTAATACTATTACATTAATAATCTCTTTACTCAATCCTACCACACCCTTAGAGAGAAACAATCATGGCCATAGATCATTCTTTCTATGGAGATTATTTATTATTATTATTTTTTTAAAGAGTATCGTTATTCAGGCCCAAAAGTTAGACTTATTTTCTAAATCCAATGATGTGTTAAGAAGATGATTAATTAATAATTATATATCAACTAATTATCTTTTTGACACATCACTAAATTTAAAAAATGAGTCTAAAAAATAAACTTGTGTATCAATATTTTTTTAATTTTAAATCTTATAATACTATACTAAATTATTTCTTTTTTTTTTTGTATATTATTATTATTTTTTTTATTTTTGTCTCACAAGATTGTACATGTGACTTTACGGCACCACGAATGTACTCATGCAACCACCATCACAGGATTCCTACCTCTAAATTTTGAGAACACATGCACGCAGAGACAAATGATGCGGGATTCCAGCCTGGCACCAGCTCAACTCAATTTTGCCAAAAATACTCCTTGTTTGTTTCACGTTCCACACTCCAAAAATCCCCATGCCACACACATACTAAACTCAGACACAGACACACACACAGACACACAGAGACACACCACCTGGTCCACCTCTCTATCTTATCTCACCACCGATCATCACCACCACCATGCCACCGGACCTCCACTCTCTTACCACCACCATCCTCCTATTCCTAGCCCTCAATTTAGCCGCTACGGTGGCATTAGCGGCGACAGTTTCTACAACCGTCGTCGCAGACCTCCCGGAATTCCAAGAAGCCCCGGAATTCCGAAACGGAAAAGAATGTAACCACCACAACCCCTCCATAATCCACATAGCCATGACCCTCGACACCACCTACCTCCGCGGCTCCGTCGCCGGAGTCTTCTCCGTCCTTCAACACGCCACCTGCCCTGAAAACATCGTCTTCCACTTCCTCTCCTCCACCACCACTCACCGCCGTAACTCCGCCGATCTCCGCCGCACCATCCTGACCACCTTCCCTTACCTCTCCTTCCACCTCCACCACTTCGACACAAACCTCGTTAAAAACAAAATCTCGTCCTCCATCCGGCGCGCCCTCGACCAACCCCTGAACTACGCCCGCATCTACCTCGCCGACCTCATCCCCATTTCCGTCAATCGCATAATCTACTTCGATTCCGACCTCATCGTGGTCGACAACATAGCCAATCTGTGGTCTATCGACCTCAAATCCCACGTCCTCGGTGCCCCCGAGTACTGCCACGCCAATTTCAGTTCCTATTTCACCAACAAATTCTGGTCCATACCCATTTTCTCAACAGTCTTCTCAAATCGAAACCCATGTTATTTCAACACGGGTGTGATGGTAATCGATCTTCAAAAATGGAGACAAGGGAAGTACACTGAGAAGCTTGAGAATTGGATGAGATTACAGAAGAGGTATAGGATCTATGAGTTGGGTTCTTTGCCTCCATTTTTACTGGTTTTTGCTGGGAATGTGGAGAGCATTGAGCATCGATGGAATCAACATGGGCTCGGTGGAGACAATGTTCAAGGGTTGTGTAGAGATCTGCACCCTGGTCCGGTCAGTCTGTTGCATTGGAGTGGGAAAGGGAAGCCATGGCTAAGACTTGATTCCAAGAAACCTTGTCCGTTGGATAGCTTGTGGGCACCGTACGATCTGTTCCGTCATGCACCGTTGTTTTCTGATAGTTGATGCACTGGATCAAAACTCGTATCCCGCGGAAACAATAATTGAGTGTGAAATGACCAAAGAGGACGAAGGTGGGTGGTGTAAAGGGGTATTGTGTGGAGTGGAATTGGTGATTTTTTGGGTATTTTGTTCTGGTGCGGTCATGACCAGAGTTATTGTCGGTGGAAGGTGAATTGGACGGACTTGATTTGGGGAAAAAGTTTTGGGTGATGATGATGTAAAGGAAGTGGATTGGTGCATTTGTAATATTCTGTAATGTACTCAAGTGTCGGCAGTGTTTGGATATGTGAAAATTCTTTGCTCGTTTAAGTCGTCGGTTGAGTTTCTTTTGGCTTGATTTTTTTTTAATTTGTTTTTTGAATTTATTACATTAGATTAATTACATTAGATTCTTTTAGCTATTAATGAGTATCGTTTTATTCTCTTTTTGTGAATCTGTATTTATTAAATTTTTAAATATAAAAAATGTACAATTATACCTTTTTTTATGGTGGTTCGAATTAATTTAAATTTTTTTTTTTTACATAACAGGTGACTCACGTGAATAAGATGTCGTGGTGTACCATTTCATTTTATTAATTAACATATTGTAAAGATAAGATTTTTGGAGTCATTTTTTGTTCCATCTGAAATACTAGTATTCCGTCACATTAAATTTCGATCTCATATTTTATTATACGTTAATTATTGGGTGAAAGGGTACATAACGTTATTTCAACCATGAAGCATACCTGTGACGAAATATTGAAGAAATTGCAAATATATGGGGCAATGACAAAAAAGTTATACTGCAAATGAAGTTTTTTTTGGGTACAACTCTACAAGAAGAGTTACATCAAACACATGAATGAGCGTTTGTTTTCAGAGGTAGAGTGAAGGAGATTTATAGTGAGGGGATTGTTAGTGAGATGATTGATAATGAGGGGATTAAGTAAAATTGTGTTTGTTTCGATGATAGTTGTTAGTGTAGGAATTGTTAAATTATTTTTATATAAAATAATAAAACAAATAAGGAAAATTTACCCATAAGTCCTAGTTTCTGAAAAGTTGAACCATTTAGTCCTAAAAGTTTTCTTATACTCCATTTAGTCCCATTTGCACATCAATCTAATGTTTGAAACATTAATCTGATGTTCGAAATCTAATGTTTGAAACATTAATCTGATGTTCGAAATCTAATGTTCGAAACATTAATCTGATGTTTGAAACATTGTAATGGGACCTTTCAGTCTATAAAAAAACTTTTAGGACTAAACAGTGTATAAGTTATTAATTTGGGATTTATTGGTGCATCCCCTTATAAAAAAAATATAAAAAAAATTAAACATTAATATTTTAAAAAAATTCCCAATATATAAAAAATAAAAAAAATTATAATCCCCTCACTATTTTTCTAATATCATCTTCACCTCCTCCATCTCAATCCCCCTTCCAACCTCCATCTATATCACCTCATCCATCCTAATCCTCTCCCCAACTCTACAAACAAACACAACACTAAATAACGCCACCTCCATCCTAATCTCCTTCTATCTATTTAACCCCAAAATAGATGGGGCCTATGTATAGAGAAGAGTTGTACCATTAAGAAAATATAATTTTTTTTTTCTTCCTATTCCACCCAAAATGTAATTTTTCCTAAAATATTAGGGTTTAACATTTACATTTTTATAATTGAGTGGTCAAGGTGTACTGGTTCATAAATGATAGAATAAAATGATACTTTTTAGGGCAAATTACATATACACCCCTTCAGGTTTGGTTAAATTACAGATACCCCCTGAGGTTTCGGAAATTACATCCCGCCCCCTGAGGTTTGTATTTTCATAACAATTTACCCCCTGAGGTTTATATTTCATAACAAATTACCCCCTAATTTCTTATGGAAATATAGCATTCAGGGGGGAATTCGTAATTTCTCAAACCTCAGGGGGGTATCTGTAATTTTGACAAACCTGGAGGGGTGTATATGTAATTTGCCCTATTTTTTAATAGTTGAGAAGTTTTAGTGCAATTGTGCAATTAACCCTTTATTTTAAAAAATAGATTTTATTTTGATAAAAATAAATATAAAAAATGTAATTTTTGAATTTAAAAATATTTATAATCTATAAAAGGAAAAAAATGATTAAAAATATTGGATGTTTTTAAAAAAATTATTTTTTAATCAAATTAATTTTAAAAATATTTTTTTAAAAAAAATTGAAAACTTAACCAAATATGCATTTTGAGTTACATATACCAATTAGTATATTAACTAATGTACCAATTGATGATATGACATAATTTAAGATATTTTTGATATTTATAATTTCAGCAGTGCTAGAGGCCTCGAATTTGGCTCGAATGTCATTCAGTGTGTTTGGTTTTAGTTTTTTGAATTAAGTTTTTTGAAAACTGAATTTTTTGATTTTCGTGTTTTTTTTTTCTTTTAGTGAATATTTTTAAAATTTTAAACATTTTTTTTTATCTTTTTAGATACACCTTACTTAGATATATCTAAAAAGTAAAAAATTTGTGAAAAAATATTTTTAAAAATTAATAAATACATAAAAGTATAAAAAATATACTGAATTCTCGTATTTTTTTTTATATTTTTGGTATTTAGTGAATTTTTAAAAAGTTTTTTCAAATTTTTTTTTTACTTTTTAGGTATATTTATATTAGGTATGTTTAAAAATTAAAAAAATTGCTCAAAATATTAAAAAAATTCAGTAAAAACAAAAAAATATGAAAAATAAGAAAGTAGAATTTTCTAAAAAGTGTTTTTGAAAAGTGGTAACCAAGCATAGTGATTTTTTTTTTTCTACTGTGTTTTTTTTATTTTGTTTGTTTGTTTGTTTGTTTTTTTTTTTTTTTTAAGGGTGAGTTAAAATGTCTAATATATAATATTAGACATTTTGCACCTACTCATCCTATAAAATTATATGAAATTAACAAAATTTAATTAACAGTTTAACTGATCAGTCAATTTTATCACTTAACCAGTCCAACTTAATTGATTGATCAGTTAGACTGATGGTTAAAATCTTTAATTTTATATAATTTTGTACGATGAGTTGGTGCGAGATGTTTAGTTTTTTAGCACACCCTACACATAACCACCTTTAAAATAAAAAAATAAAAAAATAAACAAACAAACAAACCAACACAGCCTAACAAATAAAATAAAATAAAATTAAAAAAAATTGATCAATCAATTTTATCACCCAATCAATCCAATCCAACTCACTTGCAGAATGTCTAATTGTTTAGCACACCCCTATATATAACCATCCTTGTAAAACGAAAAGAAAAGAAAAGAGAGAAAAAATAAAAAACCAAACTAACACAGCTTGAAAAAAAATAAATAAAAAAAAAATATCGAATTTGAGGAAAATTCGAGACCTCAAACATTAATTTTATAATTTATTTAATGAATAAAATTAATAATAATATCATAATTAATATTAATACGTAATTAATGCATGTAGTACTACCGTTTTTATTTTGATCCATGTGACAATAAGCGAATTTAAGAAAGAGGCACAAGAAAGAAATGGTACATAGGATCCTTTCATGATTTTTTCTTTTAAATTTTTTCTTTGTTTTTTTAGTGCAATTACTTTTTTGGCTTAGACTTTTCATGTACTTTGTGCTTTGTTATTCCATCAATGATATTCATGTTCTTTGTCCTCTTATTGTGTTTTTGTAGCTTTTTGTTTTCCTATTTTTCAGCTTCAATTTGGGGTGTTTGGTTGTAAGTATTGGGATATTATTTTCGCATGAATCCAAGTATGTTTGAATATTACACCACTTGTGCCCAAAATAATATTACACTAATAATTCTTATATAACATTGAAATCACATTGTCACACTTATTATTGAAAATACTCGTAACATAAAATATTTACTCAGTTTGGAAGGGTTGAAAGTTTTACATTTTTGTAATTGAGTGGTCAAAATATACAAGTTTATAAATGAGAGAATAAAATAATATTTTCTAATAGTTGAGAAGTTTTAGTGTAATTAACCCTTTATTTAAAAAAATACATTTTATTTTGATAAAAATAAATATAAAAAAGGATAATTTTTCAATTTAAAAATATTTCTAATCAAGAAAAAAAAATTATTAAAAATATTGAATTTTTTAATTTTTTTTAGTTTTTATCAAACTAATTTTTTAAAATTAAGCACATGAATAAATTTACACATGTGTAATTACACCATCATAAAAATATAATTTTTTTTTTACCACTGTTCCACTAAAATGTAATTTTCCCAGACAAAAATGGTACATAGGATCCTTTCATGATTTTTGATTTTTTTTTTTTTTTGGTTTTTTTAGTGTAATCACTTCTTTGGCTTAAACTTTTCACGTTGTTGTTTTTTTTTTTTTTTTGTTATTCCATCATATTCATGTTCTTTGTCCTCTTTAATGTGTTTTTGTAGCTTTTTGTTTTCCTATTTTCAGCTTCAATTTGGGGTGTTTGGTTGTAAGTATTGGGATATTATTTTCCCATGAACCCAAATATGTTTGAATAATACACTTGTGCCCACTAACACTTCCTAAATAACATTGAAATCACATTGTCACGCTATTATTATTGAAAATACCATGACACCCCTTATCGGCTAACATTATCAATGAAATGATAAAACTACTAGTGTGGGATATATTTTTTGAGTACCAACACGTGGCAAGATGACGCCGACGTGTCAGCCGAAGTGCTACGTGTCCTGGTTGTGACGCCGAGGTTATCTTGGCAAGGCCGAGGTTATCTCCGAAGATATCAGAATCCGAGATAAGCGGATAAGGGACAAGAGTCCTAGAGTAAAGAGGGAACTTAGCTAAGATAAGGATAAAGCTCTTAGGCTCCGTTTGTTTTCAAAGATAGAATAGAGGGGATTGATAGTGAGGGGATTAATAATGAGGGGATTGTTAGTGAGGGTCGTTTGTTTTCAGAGATAGAATGGAGGGAATTGATAGGGAGGGGATTAATAGTGAGGGGATTGATAGTGAGGAATTGTTAAATTATTTTTATATAAAATAATAAAACAAATAAAAAAATATAAAAATTAAACATTAATATTTAAAAAAAAAATTCCCAATATATAAAAAATAAAAAAAATAAAAAAAATTCTAATCCCCTCACTATTTTTCTAATACCATCTCTACCTCCTCACTATGAATCCCCTCCACAAGGGTATTAGTAATACCAAGGTATTAGTAGTACCCTCCCCATCTCTCAAAACAAACAAGGTATTGGTTAGTCCCAAGGTATTAGTAGTCCCAAGGCTATCTCTCAAAACAAACACCCCATATACTAGTCCCAAGGTATTAATAATCCTAATCCCTTTGCTATAACTCCAAACAAACGGAGCCTTAGGGAGTTTATCTTTATTTCTTGTGAAATCCAAAGTA